TTCGGCTATTAATTAAGCCTACTCCACTCTTTTTCCACAACTTGTGGAAGAGTTTGCACTATCACTCCTAGTACAAACTAAACAAGCTAGCTTCCTTGATCACTAAGCCGGACAGCTACTTGTGTAGGTTTTTCAACTCCTTGAGTTTAGTCCGCCTCTATCAACGTCTTCTTCAGAGTTGAGGGTTGGAAAGAATTGATGATGTTCTCCAACTCGTGAAATCTTGACTTGATGATGCTTGAATCTTCGAGTATAAATTGGAAGATTTCCCTTGTGTTGTGAAGGCTTGAAGTCTAGATAATCTCATACAAAGAAACTTCACAAACACACACTGGTTTTGAAAGCTTTTTAGATGACACTTGTTAACAAAGCTTTTGTAGATGAAAATTGAGTGAAAAAACCAAATCCTTCTTCAGTGGTGAAGAGAGGTATTTATAGGTGAGGAAAAAATTAATCCGTTGGAGGGAGATGAAAATTCAAACCTATTAACCAGTGTGTAATATCCACTGGGCATGAAACATTTAATTCGGCTGTACTGTGTAGCTGTTGGCGGCAAAAGTGATTTGTCCTTTTGTCCTTTTTCACTGACAAAGGTACTAATCATTTAATACTTCTTGGTTTTTGTGAATATCATTCCTAGGACTCCTTTTGTCTAGGATGATTGCCCGGGTGTGACACTTAGATAAACATTCTTCTTGTTTACGTGTAGAAATTGTCTATTCAAGTCTGACTTAGACTTTTTGTCTCAAAATCTATTAAACGAAAGATTGTTTCGACGAGAGTTAAACCCTTCCATTGTTTCGATCTAAGTTGTTCTCTCAGCCTTCTCTTGATCTTTTCTTCTTCAAGTAGACCTAATTGATTAAAATACAACTCTGATTCGTGTAAATGTGTTACTAAGCACGAATCACATGGTGAGTTGTGACTACTTTCGTCTAACACGAAAGTTGCAAAATAACGAGAGTAAAATAGGGGTCTACAGTCATAGTAAGTTTGGTATCATCAAAATCTAAATACATATGTTCCTAACACCATCAATCCAGGTTTATATTAGGCACAGAGTCTGGTTGACTAACAACTTCTAGTTGTTTAGTCTAACCAAACCATTTAATAAGCCTAGTCAACTTGCACACTTAATTAAGTCCCCAATATATAAAAGGGCCATTGGAGATTGATATATAGTATTTGATTAATATAATGGAGATGGATGATGTAAAGATTAAATATAGAAAATATATTCTATTAATCTCTCCATACATAATTAGGGATGTATATATATTATATTCATTCCATATATTATATTCATTCCATATACAAAGGCTAGATATTACATAGGCTGTATATATATCTCTCTTTACTTGTGTTTTTCATTATCACATATGGGAAATATATTATATTCCATTTATTCTTCTGCTTACTCTTCTTCATCTCTCTCTCTCTATGCACACAGTGCATTTCATGGTATCAGAGCTTTTTTTTTTTTCTACTTTTGATAAATACTCATCATGTCCAACATTCATCCAATACATCATTTCCCACAACTGAAACCTTAACTCCTTCCATTGTTCTACCACCGTCAAATGACACCCATGTTGACATCGAGAGCCCTTCTTTCCTCCATTCCTCAGATGGCACCTGCACTACTCTTGTTGTCATCCTTCTCACAGGCATTGACAATTATTATCCTTTGTCCCTTGCAATGACAATTATATCGTAACAACCCAAAATTTATTTTATAAATCCAGTATTAAGAAATTTCAAAGTAGTTTTTTCATCCTATTAAAAATTTTAAATCGAAAATTCCAAAGTTTTCGGGTACTTCGCGTACCAAGATTTAAATCGAGAATTTTACCGAGTGAGACCGGGAGAATTAAAAAGGAAATTTTGAACAAGTGTTCATCCATATTGTTTTTAGGAAAATTCACTTTCCACCCCAAAGTAATTAAGAAATATCATTTCTAGCCTATGGTTCATGATACATGGTGAACCACAAGACATCCAAAAATCTCTTATAAAGTCATCTTTTAGCTTGGGGAAATTACCCCTTTACCCTCAACCAATCATTGGGTATCATCCTAGGGTTTTGAACCCTATATAAACCCTTCATTCCATCACATTTTCCTGATCTCATTTTCATTGCCTCTTCCTCACATTTGTCTGCCAACATCCAAGGAGAAAAGCTTCAACCTCGTAAGCTTGTTCATCCTCCTTTCTAGCATCATTTCTCTTCTAGTTTTCTTTAGTCTTTAAGAATATAGGCTAAGGGTAGAAGGATAGAAGGCTCAAGCTAGACCAAGAGGAAGAAGAGATCCAAGCAAGAAGTCTAGACTACAGGAGGTATAACCATGGATTCCTCTTTAGATTTGGCTCTGTGAAGCCTAGTTTTGAGTAGAAATGAGTAGAAATTATGAGCTTTTGATGTGTTTATGCTTAAAAATGGTTTGGTATGTGTTTATGAGTTGTTGAGATTGTTTTGGAAATATTTGGACAAGTTTTGAGGGCCAAATATGTCCAAAAAAATTTGACATATTTGGACAAGTTTTGAGGGCCAAATATGTCAAGCATATTTGTTAATGTATACATGATTTAGAAGCATGTTATAGAGCATTTGAAATTTCACATGAGTCATATTTCAAAAATGCATAAAGGGCCAACGTGAGTCCAAGAATACTTTTGAAAACCATAAGCATGTGGTATATCATTCTTTGATGCATTGAGAAGTAGTAGAATTGTTGCATGCATGAGATTGATGCATGAGAGATATATTTATGCATTATCTATATTGGTGAGATTTTGGAGGATACCGTTTGGACTATATTCCTCTCGGGAGATATTTATGGACATTGCGGTCCCAAAGTATGTAACGCGGCGTATTCCCACGTTACGAGGTTGGAAACTTCCCGCCGGGCTTGGAATCCTGGTTAGGGGGTGTGCACACTAATAGTTCGATACCTGATTCCACAGAGTTTGAACCACGAGATTGGTTCCGTAGACGGTAGGAGATATTGGGTCGGAATTATGCCGTTCCCGATGGGGTAAGTCACACTTCTGTGAAACCCAAAGCCGTCTACGAGTATAAGAGAAAGAAAGAGAGTCAACAGAGACTCAAGAAATAGAGTCATCAGGGACTCAAGAGAGAGAGTCAACAGAGACTCGTTTATGAGAGTCAATATAGACTCGATAGAAAGAACGAGAGTCAAGAGTGACTCGAGAAAGTAACAAAGAAACCTCCACAGAAAGTACCCTATTATATATATGAGTGTATGATTATATTATCGCACTAGATTGCATATGAACATGAGTATATTGTTGCACGAGATTGCATATGAAAATGAGTATATTGTTGCACTAGATTGCATAAGAGTATGAATGTATTATTACACTAGATTTCATATGAATATGAGTATATTAACGCACTAGATTTCGTAAGAGTATGAGTGTATTATTACACTAGATTGCATAAGAGTATGAGTATATTATTGCACGAGATTGCATATGAACATGAGTATAATGTTGCACTAGATTGCATAAGAGTATGATTATACTATGGCACTAGTTTGCACGAGAAGCATGATCATAATGTTATATATGATTGTTTGTGAATAGAACATCGTAAAAGATTGTTTAATAAGAAGTTTAGCTTGAGAGGTTCCTTGAGCATGATTATTATGATGTAGTAGAAGTTCTACTTAATAAGCTACGTGATAAGAGTGTGATAGCATGTGAACACGTGTTATATGATCTTTAAACATGATCCTATCTGTAAACATGAATTACTTTATAAGCTATTTGAGAAGTCTATATGTATATGAATATACGTGATTAGTTTTATTCATATATAAGCATGCCAACTGATATTATAGGGTGCAAGCCTTTAGAAAGAATATGATAAACTAAAGATGTTTTGAGATTAGCTTATTGCTATAAAGATATCAAATGTTTTCAAAGTGTATGCTAGAATGTTTTATAGGGTTGAGTGTGGTTATACTTAGCTTCGTGCTAACAGGTGTTTTCATGTTTGTCTATGTGTTGCTTGCAAAACTCCTTTCAGGTGGGCCCAACAGTGAGAAGAGATCGAGTTAGATTAGTCTCTTAGTCTAAGCTGTCTAAACTCTAGTTCTATTTATGATGTCTTTATGGATTTAGACTTATGACCCTATACTTTATGATGATGTTTGTAGACTGTTTTGGGGTGACGTATTTCCCCCTTACTTTTCAGTATTTACTTTAGTGCCCAGACTTAATCGTATGTTATAGTTTTACCCCTTTAGCCTGTGCAATCACCAAGAGTGATGGTTGTGGCGGTGACACCCTCACTACTTTCATCTAATTTTCCGCTGCTTAGATTATGTTAATGACTGTTTAGAGAGATTATTAAGAGTTAGAAAAGTGGGTGTTACAAATTGGTATCAGAGCGGTACGAACCGCGGGAAAACTTAGGAAGTTTGACCCTTAAGATTGGGTATAGAAAATCTAAGTGAAAATCCTAGGAAGGACAAGTTGAGGAAAGACCTTTAAGTTGAAGTCTTAAGAAAGACAAGTTAAGATGAAAACTCTAAGTGAAATCCTAAGAAGGATAAGATTAGGGAAAGAGCCCTAAGTTATGAAAACTGAGATGAGAAGGACACTAAGTCCAGTAACCGAGTATGAGAATCAGAGTTAAGAGAAACTCTAAGTGTTAGTGGGAACACGGAGAGATCGTGTTTTCCTTTGTGTTTGCTTAAATGTTTATGCTTTATCAATGTGTTTAAAGTACTTGTTTCTGTCTTTTGAAAGTGAAACACAGACGTTTTTCAGTGAGAAGCTAAAGTGAAAGTTAAAAGTTGAGATTGTGTTAGTGACTGTTTAGAGAGATTATTAAGAGTTAGAAAAGTGGGTGTTACAGCAATGGCCCTAAAAGGAAGAAACAAGTTCTGTTTTATTGATCGCATCGTACCCTTCCTATGCCACCTGCAACTGATTCTCACCATGCTCGTTGGCACCGAGTAAACAATATCGTAATGTCTGGGTTGCTAAATTCCATCCATCTCTCACTCAGCTACACTGTTTTATATGCTCCTAATGATGCTACTATCTGGGCCGATCTCAAAGAGCATTTTTCTACGGCAAATGGTCCTCGTATTTATGATCTTGAAAGGCCTATTGCAACCATCAGGCAACAAGATTATTTTATTCTACATTATCATAACATCTTATGTGCACTATGGGATGACTTGACTCTGCTTGATCCTCCACCAGTATGCACATGCTCAGCGCGGACTGCATATGCTTCTCAAATGGAGCGGCGCCGTTTATTCCAATTTTTGATGGGTTTACGCGAAACATATACCCAAACACGCAGCAATCTCCTTCTCAAAACTACCATGCCAACTGTTAAAGCAGCTTATAGTTTACTACTCCAGGATGAGACACAACGGACAATTTATCAATCTGACTCTCCAGCAAATTCTGTAGCTTTGCAAACTAATGCACATGGTAAGTCTTCTTTGTCTAGTAATGTTCCTTGGTCCTCTGTTGTTCCACCAACAGTTGACACATCAATATTGGGTAAACACCCACACCACCTTTACAAACTACTGGCCAAACTAATGAGATGACACCAAGCTTCGCTAATGTTGCCCACAACCATCTAATCGATCCACCCAAACTCGTTCAAGGCCGAAATGTACACATTGTGGACTGCTAGGCCACACCCAACAATTGTTATAAGCTTCACGGGTATCCTCCAGGGCACAAGTATTACAAAAAAGGCAATACCAATGGCACCCCAACATCCATTCCTACACCTCCACCACCAATTACAGGTTCCATATCTTTAGACTCAATCCAACAATTGCTTCAACTACTTCGTGAGGTAAAAGAACCAAAGGCGAATCTTGCTGGTATATCTCTCACACTTGCTTCTATTTTTAATGCATCAACTGAATGAGTTATTGATACTGGCGCCACTGATCATGTATGCTTTAATTATTCTCTCTTTAATTCACCACCTATCAATGCTTGTCATATGTGAACTATATCAGTTCCAAACGGAGATACAGTAGCCATTCATGGCCTTGGCAATACTACAATATCCAATAATTTAACTTTGTTTAATGTTTTTATGTTTCAGCCTTTAAATTCAATTTATTATCTGTGCACAAATTTGCCAAAGATTCAAATTCTAGCATTATTTTTTTTCCTAACTATTGTGTTTCAGGACCTTTCAACGAAGACGGAGATTGGTCGGGGCCATGGACGTAATGGGTTATACTACCTAACCACAACACCCTCACATGCATTACTCACCACTACATCAAATACATGGAACGCTAGACTTGGTCATCATTCTCATACTACTTTTCAAAAATTAATTCCAATATTAGGTTGTTCTGATTTTCAAGACCCTTGTGATATTTGCCACATGTCTAAACAAACTTACTTATCTTTTCCAATTAGTCGTACTGCTACTACTGCGTGCTTTGATTTAATTCATGTGAACATTTGGGGAAAATATTCTAACCCCACTAGGAATGGACATCATTATTTTTTTGACTATTGTTGATGATTTTTCAAGAGCTACATGGACTTATTTGATGATGTTTAAATCTGATGCTTATCTATTGCTTGTTAATTTTTTGGCATATGTTAAAAATCATTTTAATACTTGTGTTACAAATTTTAGATCTGACAACGGTGCAGAATTTACACAAACTGCTTTTCAAAATATTTTATTACAAGAGTTAATACCATCCGAAGTCCTTTGAGTATAGTGATTTTGCAACGTTTAGTCCTAAACTTTCAAATTGACCATCTGTGGTCCTTCGACTTTCAAATTTAACCACCCATGGTCCAAGTTAACCACCCATGGTCTTTCGACTATTAAATTTTAACAAACCATGGTCCTTTTTAGAGGACCACTACTGGTTAAATTTCGAAACTTGAAGGACCATGAGTGGTTAACTTGGACCACGAATGGTTAAATTTGAAAGTCGAAGGACCACAATTGGTCAATTTGAAAGGGTAGGACTAAACGTGGCAAAACCACTATACTCGGAGGACCTCATATGGTATTAACTCTTATTACAATATGGAATTTTACAATAGTTTCGTTGTCCTGACACTCCTCAACAAAACGGGGTTGTAGAACAAAAGCATCGTCACCTTCTTAATATGGCAAGGGCTTTACGTTTTCAAGCATGACTCCCCATATCCTTTTGGGGTGATTGTATTTTGACAGCCACACATCACATTAATCGTACCCCTACCCCTATTTTACAGCATAAAAGCCCCTACAAGATGTTATTTGGTCACATTCCTGATTTTTCTAATTTACGCACATTTGGTTGTCTTTGTTACGCTTTTACAATACAACACCATCCTAATAAATTTGATTCCAGGGCTAAACGTTGTATTTTCTTGAATATCCTCAAGTTCAAAAAGCATATAAGTTATATGACTTGGATACTCAAAAGGTATTTGTCAGTTGTGATGTCATTTTTTACGTCACCACCGCACCACCCCATTCACCATTGACTGGCTCTCATACTTCGATTCCACCTCCAACAGAGCCACCTTCTGAACCTACTCCGCCATCACCATGATGTTTAAAACGTCAATCCAAACCCCCTAAATACTTATCAGATTATCAATGTTACCTAGCTACCATACCCAAATATCCACTCTCTCATTTTCTCTCAAGTCCATCCCACTCACACTTCATCAATTCAATTACCAAAGAAACTGAACCAACTTCATTCTCAATAGCCCGAACTAATCCTAAATAGCAGAAGGCAATGGAAGAAGAGATTCAGGCCCTCGAAGTCAATAACACTTGGTCTCTTCAAACTCTACCGCCTGGAAAAACGACTATTGGTTGTCGATGGGTCTACCGCAGTAAATATAAACCCGATGGAACAATTGAAAGATATAAAGCCCGTATGTCGCCAAAGGGTACTCCCAGCTAGAAAGACTTGAAAACACAGACGTTTTTGCCCGTGTAACTAAATTATTGACCGTCCGCACTGTCCTTAGCATTGCCGCCGCACGAGGATGGCCCACTTGTCAGCTTGACGTATCTAATGCTTTTCTACATGGAGATCTCAATGAGGAAGTTTACATGCAATTACCACCTGGATTTCGTCGAAAGTGGGAGACTTGAGTTTGTCGTCTACATAAATCCCTCTATGGCCTCAAACAAGCTTCAAGATCTTGGTTCACCACTTTTTCTAACTCTCTCTTGCATGCTGGTTTTATACAATCCAAAGCTGATCATTCAATGTTCACTTATAAAAGAGACTATTATCTAACGATCTTGCTTGTCTATGTATATGACACTATTATTACAGGGAATGACATGGTCATTACGAAACTACTCAAAAAATATCTTGCGAGCAAAATCCATCTCAAAGATCTTGGTTCCCTTAAATTCTTTCTTGGCATAGAAGTGGCACGTTCCTCCAAAGGGATCTTTCTAAATCAACGGAAATACACCCTTGAAATCCTTTCAGACACAGGACTTTTGGCATGCAAACCTGCACCGACACCCATTGAGTTCAACCACCATCACAATCCTCACGACAGTGATCTCCTTCCTGACCCTTCCTCTTACAGGCCCTTAATTGGTCGTCTCCTCTATCTTACGGTAACTCGACCGGACATCACTTATATAGTCAATCTTCTCTCACAATTTATGTCCACTCCACGTGAACCACACTTGCAAGCAGCACTACGCATTGTTAGATATATCAAAAATTCACCGGACCGTGGTATCATGCTTCACAATCGTAACTCTTTGCGCCTGCATGCTTATTGTGATGCTGATTGGGCCTCATGCCCAACCACACGCCGATGAACCATTGGTTATTGTGCCTTTCTTGGCACAAGTCCAATCTCATGAAAAAAAAAAAAAAAGCAATCTACTGTCTCAAGGTCCTCAACTGAAGCCGAATACCGTGCAATGGCTAATGCAGATAGTGAAATCACATGGCTTCAACTATTACTCTCCGAATTAGACATTCCTACCCACCCAGCACAACTCCACTGTGACAACCAAGCATCGCTTCACATAGCCAACAACCCCGTCTTTCACGAACGAACGAAACATGTTGAGATTGATTGTCACTTTGTTCTTGAAAAAATTAATGATGGCTAACTTCGCACCACCTACGTTCCTTCAACGCAACAATTGGCTGACATATTCACCAAAAGTCTACTTCCACAATCATTTGAAGCCATCGCATCCAAGCTCATGCATCACCCATAAGCATGAGGGGGAGTATAAAGATTAAATGTAGAAAATATATTCTATTAATCTCTCCATGCATAATTAGGGATATATATATTATATTCATTCCATATACATAGGCTACATATTAGGTAGATTTCCTTTATTCATTATTTTTCCGTTATATTGTTTTGTATATATCTCTCTCTTTACTTGTGTATCATTATCACATATGATAAATATATTACAATTCCATTTCTTCTTCAGCGTACTCTTCTTCATCTCTCTCTCTCTCTGCACACGGTGCATTTCAGATGAGAATGCATGCATGCTCTCAATGTGTTTCCTATTTATAGAAAATAAAAAAACTAACATCGATTAAGTTGCCGCGTTGATCAGAATGAGACAAAGAGGAAATTATCATCCTTATATTAGCTTGTAGTTTTAGCAGTAATGCAACTTGGACTTCTATCCACGAGTAAACGGTTGAATTGGCAGTGGTTGTCCAACCATTTAAGCATTGGGTGCACAATAAATTAGTATTGTCCTATTTTCATCTACCTCACAATGGGCTCCCTTTTTTGTGATTTTTGCTGGTTGGACCGTTAAATTTAACCTGTTGGTAAAATTTCTCCGGTCTTTATTCACTTTATACCGATTGGTGTTTTATAAGTTGATTCGTGAGGTAAGTATAAAAGAGTATAAAATATTTTTTAAAAAAGATTAAAATATTATATGGTTTACAATTGTCGTGGTGCTTTTAAATGTATCCTACAAATATGTGTACACAGTTCAGCATGACAAATTGACAATCAATTACGGCATCTCTTCATCTTTGCCCTTTAGAAATAAAGTACTCACCATAAAACTTTATAGATTACTCTATTGTAATCTCTATCTCTATCTCTCTCTCTCTCTCTCTCTCTATATATATATATTTTTTTTTTTTTTTTTTATATATATATATATATATATATATATATATATATATATATATATATATATATATATGGGAGAGATAGAGATAGATTGTTAGATATAGAATAATTTTACTATATTGAATAACAGTATGCTTTTAGTCTGACCTCATATAAAAGCGAAAGCGTAGCCGTGTTGATCTCCAGCCACAGTTGATGTTCCTGTTGTGTTGCCTCTTAACGGTAGACCATTAGTCATTATTTGCCTTATACCTTACTCAGAACCCTAGATGGTGTATTAGTGTCTACTGAGCAGTATGAGTACCGTATCTGTATGTGCTATCTAATCCATAAACATGTATCCCATCTGTTGGTCCCGGTAGGGTCGGAAGAGAGTCTAGAGGGGGGGGGGGGTGGGTGAATAGACTCTACTCAAATTTTAAAAACAACTCCTTTCGGAGATTATACGCAACGG